CCCCCTCCCTCCTCCCACCCAGTTGTTATTACAAAGGTGGAAAGACCAGTCCCTGGGGAACAGACTGAGGAATGAAAGGCTCATGGTCTGATGGAGGAAGCCTAGTCCCTGAACTCAGGGAGGTAGGGGTCCTGCCCATGAAGATCCCAGGGTAATGGAGAAGCAGTCCCTGTCTTCGGGGAGCTCCCAATCGAATGGGGGAAGCAAGTCTCTACCCTCTTCGATCTCCCCATTACACCCCTGCCCCAGTCTGATGGGGGTACAACCACTCTTCTTTGGGAAGTGCTTGGGGCCCCTTGGGAGCTCTGGGCCAGCAGCCTGCGTACAGGTCTGTCCTGCCTCAGTGGCTCAATGGGGCCATCACGAGTCTCCATCTCAGGAAGCTCTAAGGGCCCAGGCTCAGGAGAGGGCTGGGGACAGGGGCCTGGCTACTGGGTACAGAGTAGTTGCTGATCAAACCAGCTTTGCCCAGGGCTGAGAAGCAGACGGGAGTTTCCTCCAACTGCCAGGAGAGCGATCTGCTCTGCTTCCAGAGTGCTCCCACCCCAGGAAGGCCCCTCCAGGCACCCACTTAGATCCCACGCAGCCTCTAACACGGCCTTCCACACAGCCGAGCCCGTGACTGCGCCCATGATGACTGGCACTTTCCTGGTGGGGCCATTGAGTGACTCCTCGGCTCTGCCCTGCCCATCACCCCTTGCTCTGTTCAACAAGGAGCCGACATCCGTCCAGACCCAACTGGAGGAAACCATCCTGACGCCTGGTAGGTGAGGGGCTGGGAGAAGGAGGGCTTCCCCCTCCCTGTGCCAGAGGAGTGACGAAGGCAGGGCCCACCAGGGACAGAATCCGGAACCCAGCCAGTGTCACCCACTCCCGTCCCAGCCAGTCCCATCCTGGGTTCCCATCAGTCAGTCTGCGCCAGAAAACTGGTCGTCCCCCCCCCGCCCCCCCACACCCCGGGAGGCACAGCAGGGAATCCCCACCAGTTAGAGAATTCGCCCGCCAGCCAGTGCATCCATCCACTGTGGAAGGAGCACTCTCTGTGCCAACCACTCTGCCAGGTGCCAGGGACACTGCCGTGGGCCAGGCAGACACCGCTGCTGCTCTTCGGGAGATTGGAGCCCGTTAGGAAGAGAGTCAGATACTAATCAGATAAGCACAAAGCAGGATTACAAACACAGGTGCTGCAGAGGGTCGCGCCTCACTGCCTTGGTCTCTTGCAGCGCCCCCCTCCAGTTCCTTGCTGAGCTGCCTGGGTCTCCCTGCTGGGTCCATCCACATCATCCCCACCCTCCCTGCTCTGCCCCAGGGGCTCTGGCAAATCGCAGGAGCCGGGACAGAGGTGTCCAGTATACTCATCTACCAAGGTGAGTGAGGGAGGCCTCGCCCCACCCCCGCCCTGCTACCTGACTACTCCCTCCTCCCAGGCATGTGGCAGGTGCAGCCTAGGACCCTTTCATGATCCTCCCTCCTCTCTGACTCCATTTCCCAAGAATCAAAGTAGAGGAGCAGAGCTCCCAAGGGGGTCTGGGTGAGGGACCCACTGAATGGCTGAGTGGCCTTCAAGGACCCCTTTTCCCCACTAAGCCTTGGTTTTTCCTTCTTTCCCCCACACTATTAAACATTATTATATTTTTAAGCTACATCAATACATGTGCATTAAAAAGTCAAACAATAAGAGATGCTTATAAGGGTCACTGAGTCTCTCCTTCACTCTTTTAGTAAAACCTGGTGAGCAGTTTGGTGTGCATCCTTGCACAGCTTTCTCTGAATTACCTTGTTTCATGATTAGTAAAATGATCCATTCTGTCGGCCACAATGATGGGCTGTGAATTGCCCAGGGGAAGGCATGTTTGGCTCTCAGAGGTGGGAGAGAGAACAAGACCTGGGGTACACTTCCACTCAATTGAAGAGCATCCTTTGAAGGTCGCATTGCCAATGTATGTGTAAGGCACAGGTTCCCCAGAAGCAGGGGGACATTTGGGGCATCTAGGAAAATGAACGCTGACCTAAGCTCTCTCTGAGCTAATTGTGTCCATTTCACAGATGGGGAAACCAAGGTTTCAGGAGCTAGATGTAACTCCAGAGCTTTTTCTTCAACTCCATCCTGAAATGTTGTCCTTTGAAAGTTCTCTTTTCCTCTCCCCAGACTCCCAAGCCCCACAGGCTGATCTGAGGTGGGGTGACTCAGTTGGGTTCCTGGATGGGCATCTGGTTGTTCTTATATTTCCTTCCCAACTAATGTAGGCGAGATGCCCCAAGCACCCCCTTCCAGCAGCCCAGCTATCCCCAGCCTCCCAAAGTCCCCAGACCGGCCTGGCTCCACCAGCCCCTTCGCCCCGGCTGCAGCTGACCTTCCCAGCATGCCAGAGCCAGCCCTGACCGCCCGTGCAAACATAACAGGTAAGGGGCTCAGGGCCTGTGAGAGGCACTGGAAGCAGGATTCAGGCCCAGGGGAGAAGAATTGCTGCAGACGATCAGGCCCACACCCAGCTGCCTGCGGGGACAAGCAGGCTGAGTTTATGTAAACAGGGCCGGGAAGGTGTCCAGGGAGTGGAGGGCCTGGGAGGGTGGGCGAGGGGGACAGCTGGAGAATCCATGTCCCACCTAAACCAGGCCACCAGCCTTTACCAGCTTCTCACCTGGCAGGAAAGCCCAGTGTGGCCAGATCTTCTGAATTGTCAGCAGGATCTGGAAATCCTGATTTTTTACATCTTGTGATTTTTAAAAACATTGATGAAAACAATGTTTTAAAAGTAAAGCTGGCCAACGGAAGACATCTTTGAGCAGGATACAACCTCAAGTCCCCACCTTGTGACACCCCCTTGCTCTCCAGCCCGTGTGGGCTCTACCCTCTGCATACTTCTGCATACTCAGAGGTCTGAATGCTCAGAGGGAGGAAGATGCTAGGGTACTTACTCCTCACCCTAATTCTGACACCGTCTTCTTCGTCTCCAGAGGATGAGATGTCCCCCGCCAAATGCCGGGCAGCTCGCAAGGTCTCCAGCAAGCTCCCCAAATATCCTGGTGAGTGGTAGCAGGGTCCCTCTGCCCTGGGTGTTGGAGGCGGGAGCCCAAATCTGGCTGGCTTTACTTCACTCATTCACTCAACATTTATTCAACTGCTTATGTTGGCATACTCATTCATTCATTCACTCATTCACTCATTTGATTCTGCCATCATATCAGCATTCATTCTGGCACTCAAACTTAAGTAATACTTATTAAAGACCTACCCCTCAACAAGCCCACACTAGTGCTGCATCTTGTTTGCAAGGCTGAGAGAACGAAGGAAAGAAGAGTGGGTGACTGAGTGAGGGGATGGAAGAAGTTGATGATGGGTATAGAATAGAAGGTGAGAATGGAAGAGCAAATAATGAATAGCCAACTTAGTTAAGTGCTTACTCTGTTCCCAGTAATCTTCTATATGAAATCATTAACATCACAAACAACCCTCATATTACCCCCATTTTACAGATGAGGAAACCGAGGCATAGCAGGTCTATAACATGCTCAAGATATACTAATAAGTGGTGGATGGGTATAGAATAGAAGGTGAGAATGGAAGAGCAAATAATGAATAGCCAACTTAGTTAAGTGCTTACTCTGTTCCCAGTAATCTTCTATATGAAATCATTAACATCACAAACAACCCTCATATTACCCCCATTTTACAGATGAGGAAACTGAGGCATAGCAGGTCTATAACATGCTCAAGATACACTAATAAGTGGTAGAGCTGGGATTTGAACCAGACACCTGGATTTCACAATCTTAACTCTTAACACCCACCAATGTCCTCCCTATTGTGAGTGAGGAAAGAAGGAGGTTAGTGAGCAAATGAAGGAGTGGAAAGGTAAATGAGTGAGAAGATGAGGGAATGAATGAGTATTACATTAACAGCGAGGCAGCTAATAAAGAAGGTAGTTGGTAAAGATTGTGTGGAGGACGAACGAAGAAGCTAGTGATGGTGGCCGCGCTGGCCTCTTGGCTGCCCTCCTGGGGGCCAGTCCTGCCACTAGCAGCCTCCCCTCACCCCACACATCCCTTGGCTTTGCAGAGAGCGTGGAGCAGTTTTGCCGTTCACTACGGGACAAGTACCAGGCCAAGCCCGCAGGCCCGGAGGACATCCTGGTGGAGGTGGACCTGATGAGGGCCCGGCTGGAGAGGAGCAGCAGCAAGAGCCTGGAGAGGGAACTGGTCATCCTGGACTGGGCAGAGCAGCAGCCAGCCCGCGGGGGTCTGGCTGGGGTGCTGCTTGCTGCTAGCGACTGCCGGCGGCCGCGTGAGACACAGGTGATTGCTGTGCTGGGCAAGGCAGGACAGGGGAAGAGCCACTGGGCCCGGGCAGTGAGCCGGGCCTGGGCCTGTGGCCAGCTGCCACAGTACGACTTCGTCTTCTACCTGCCCTGCCACTGTGTGGACCGACCAGGGGACACCTACCGCCTGCAGGATCTGCTCTTCTCCCTGGGCCCGCAGCCACTGCCGGGGGACAGTGAGGTCTTTGGTCACATCCTGAGGAGGCCTGACCGCCTCCTGCTCATCCTGGATGCCTTTGAGGAGCTCGAAGCCCAAGACGGCCTCCTGCCCAGTACATGTGGACCCATGTCGGCGGCGGAGCCCAGCTCCCTCCGAGGGCTGCTGGCCGGCCTCCTCCAGCGCAAGCTGCTGCGAGGCTGCACCCTGCTGGTCACGGCCCGGTCCCGGGGCCGCCTGGCTCAGAGCCTGAGCAAGGCGGACACCCTGTTCCAGATGGCCGGCTTCTCGGCCCAGCAGGCTGAGACCTACGTGGAGCGCTACTTTGAACATTTGGGGGCCACTCACCACCAGGAAAGAGCCGCGGCGCTCCTCCGGGGCCAGCCCCTTCTTCTCAGCCACAGCCACAGCCCCACTGTGTGCCGGGCCGTGTGCCAGCTCTCGGAGGCCCTCCTGGAGCTGGGAGAGGAGGTCGAGCTGCCTTCCACACTGACGGGACTCTATGTTGGCCTGCTAGGCCCAGCGGTCCGTGACAGCCCCCCTGGGGCCCTGGAGACCATGGCCAGGCTGGCCTGGGAACTGGGCCGCAGACACCACAGCGCCCTGCGGGAGGACCAGCTCCCAGAGAAGGTGAGGGCCTGGGCTGTGGCCAAAGGCTTGGTGCAGCCTTGCCCTGGGGCTCCAGAGACCGAGCTGGCCTTCCCCAGCTTCCTCCTGCAGTGCTTCCTGGCGGCCCTGTGGCTGGCCCTGAGCAGTGAGATCAAGGACAAGGAGCTGCCGCAGTACTTGGCACTGACCCCGAGGAAGAAGAGGCCCTATGACAACTGGCTGGAGGGCATGCCACGCTTTCTGGCTGGGCTGGTCTTCCAGCCTCGTGCCCGCTGCCTGGGAGCCCTGGCCGGGCCGGTGGTGGCCAGTGTGGTGGATAGGAAGCAGAAGGCGCTCACCAAGTACCTGAAGCGACTGCAGCCAGGGTTGCTGCAGGCCAGGCGGCTGCTGGAGCTGCTGCATTGTACCCACGAGGCGTTGGACGCTGGCCTTTGGCGGCATGTGGTGCAGGGGCTCCCCGACAACCTCTCCTTCCTGGGTACCCGGCTTACACCTCCGGACACCCACATCCTGGGCAGGACCCTGGAGACAGCGGACCGTGACTTTTCCCTGGACCTCCGCAGGACTGGCATTGACCCCTCTGGACTCAGGAGTCTCGTGGGACTCAGCTGTGTCACCCAGTTCAGGTGGGGTCAGGGGATAGGGAAGCAGCTTCTTTGCATGGAGCACCTGCTGTGGTCTTGCTACCATGCTGAGTTCATGCTATGGGGTCTCCTGTAGAATGCACAGCAGCCAGGGGCGGGGTGGGGAGGCGGGCAGAAGTGATTCCCTCAGTTTTTAAGATGAAGCTGAAGTTCAGAGAGGGCCAGCAGTTTGCCAAGATCATCCAGACACCCAGTGAGGGGCAGCTTCATTCTTTCAACCAATATTTGAAGGTGCCTGTAGGCCAGGCACTGGGCCATGTCTAGAATCTAAGACTGATTGAGCTTCATATTTGTTTTCTCTCCACCCCTATCAGGCCACCATTCTGTCATGATTGGATTAAAGCCACAGCCTTCCCTCAATTTCCCTACTTCCATCCATTCTGTCCTCTTCCACTTCACCATATTTAACCATCAGAGCAATCTTCCCAGAACTTGAATCTGGTCATACTTACAACTCTTTAGAAGTATCCCAGTACCTTCAGGATGAAGTTTAAATTCCTTAATTTGGCTCATTTAAATCCTTCTGTGATCTGTTTAATCACTTCAGCCTAATCTCTAGAGACTCCCTCCCACCTTACCCATAAATAGACTTTAGCCAAGCTGTAAGGTCCTACATCATTGTAGTGGTTCAATCAAGAATTTAGCACTGAGCTTCCTAGTAGTCAAAGCAAAAAGGGAAACAAAACCACTCAGAGATTTGGAAAAAAAAAATCAATAAGGGCTGGAGTAGTCATTGAGGCTTTCTGGAGGAGGTAGGGGTTAAGCTGAGAGAGGAAAGTATCTGAATACGTAAGAGGTCCCTTCATGAAGCTGCCCCTTCATTATGGTCTAGCCCCGTCACTGTGCATGGGTCTGAGGCCCTCCTTCCACAGGGCCGCCTTGAGTGACACGGTGGGGCTGTGGGAGTCCCTACAACAGCATGGGGAGGCCAAGCTACTCCAGGCGGTGGAAGAGAAGTTCACTATTGAGCCTTTCAAAGCCAATTCCGTGAAGGACGTGGAAGACCTGGGCAACCTTGTGCAGATCCAGAGGTGAGGGGGAAGGGGAGGGAGGTGGTCCAGGCCCTGCAAGTGGAAGGCCTATAGGACCCGAGATCAAGTTTGCCACTAGCACTTCCAAGGCATCCTCTCCTTTGGGACACCCCGGGCCCTCGCCCTGGGCCACAGCTACCAGAATCTCTCAATGCAGAGCCCCCAGAACTTTCACTTGGTCCCCAGCTACCAGAATCTCTCAATGCAGAGCCCCCAGAACTTTCACTTGGTCCCGTACAAAACTCGCCATCATGTACCTCATTCTTTCTCAGCTAAAGCCAGGGATGTGCATACTCTTCTTTGCTAAGAGATTTTAATGAGCTGAGCTGCCTTCTGCAGTCAGTAACAGAAGGGACACCTACGGCCACCTTTCAAGGCAGCCAGGACCAGGATCAGACCCATTTTTATAGAGAGCAACGCTCTAAAGTCCAGAGAGCAGAGGAAACTTGGCCACAGGACAACTGTCTTTCAGTCATGCCATCATCATGCATTGTCTGAGCACATACTCTGTGCTGCCTGGGGTGGGTCTGGGAAGTGCCCACTCTGGGCTTTGCCATGGCACACACAGTAATGCCTTAATAACATCCTGTCTCAAGGTTTTTCTTTTAATAGGAGGCATCAGTAGCCACAAGAAAGGCAATCTTTGGGGGGATTTTGGGCATTGGGGCAGGCGTCCTGGGACACAGAGTCAGGGGCTCAGCAACAGGCAGAGAGCCTGCTCCCGCCTAACATCGTCCCTTCTCTCCAGGACAAGAAGTTCCTCAGAAGACATCGCCGGGGAACTCCCCGCCATCCGGGACTTAAAGAAGCTGGAGTTTGCGTAAGCAACGGGGTGGATTGTCTTGGGTCCCCACGGGGTTTCTTCTCCAGCATTAGCTGGGCTTGTGCCACCAGAATGGAGATGGGTCCCCAGAATTATTCTTACCCTCTCACCCCACCCCTCTGGAAACTAGCTTCTGACAGCTGGGGCTTGGCCCTTCTGGGCTAGAGAAGATAACTGGCTCATTTCCTGGCAAACATGCTTATTTGAATTCATTCACTCAGCAGACCTGCTCAAGTGAACAAGGCCACTGTCCTCAATGAGCTTGCAGTCTAGTGTAAAGAGACCATTGCCACCTGCTGAAATAAGTGGCAGGAAACTCAAGGATTGTGAGAGTGCAGATGTGGGGGAGGCCAGGGGACTTCCTGGAGGAGGTGATTAAAGCAATAAACCTTGAGAAAGGAGTGGGCATGAGCATGTGGGGAGGCCACACAGGGCAGAGGTATTGTTATTATCTCCCCATTGTACAGATGGAGACACTGAGGCCTAGAGCATGTAAATTGCTTGTGCAGAGTCACAAAAGTTAGTGCAGCCTCGCTCTTGCTCCAACAAAGGAAAAAGCTAAATTTGTGTTTGGTACTTGTAAGGGAATCTAAAATCACCTAACGATTAGGAAGGACTTATTAAATGCCTACAGTGTACTCAGCGCATCTTGTATATTATTTCACTAATTTCAAGAGCTACTCTGGGAGAGAGTCATTACTGTTAGGTTAGGTGGCTCAGGAGGCGGCGCAAGAAATAGAGACTCCAGTGAATCAGAAAAGAAAGGAAAAGGTTTATTTCTGCGTCCCCGGGAGACCCACGTACCCAAGGAGAGGGCACGTGGATTCACGCCAACAGGGAGGGGGGCGCTTTTTTTTATACAGCTGTTCAGTGAGGGCGGGGAGCATGAGCTGTGGGAGTTCCCGCCGTGGGGTCGTCACGGTTTCCAGGTGTCGTCATCTGCCTGGTAGCTGACCTGTTAGGAATTCCAGGGCGGGACCGGTATCTGAGTCACCATTTACCTGGTGCACTGGCCTGTTACGGATTCTTGATCTGTGAGAAATTCCAGGGGGAGTCCATTATCTTGTCACATGTCTGCATGGGCTCTCTCCGACCTAACAATTACCTTTCCCAGTTTACAGATGAGGAAACTGAGACCCAGTGAGGTTGAGTAACTTGCCCAAGGTTCCCTCCCAGCTGGCCACCCACAGCTGTCTGCTTCTCCTGGTCACTGCTCCCCCTGCGCCCAGAAAAAAAAGGGGGAGCGGGTTTCTTGTCTCAATCAGAGACAAGTTGCTAAATTTGTGCAGAGATAAAAATATTGCTAAAAAGAGGAAATGTATGAAAACAATCACCCAGGGCTCCTCTAGCTTTGAATTATTTTCAGCTTAAAAAGCCCCTAGTTCAAGATCGGAACTGTGCTTGGGGGGAACAGCAGCCATGGGGTGGAACAGCCCAGAACCAGGACACAGGCCACCTGGAGGCCGGAAGCCCTGAGGCAGTTCTGAGGAAAGAAGGAAGGAAGGAAGAAAAAATTATTCTGGGTGCATGACTGGCAGCCACTGTTCCAGGCACCCTGTAGGCCTCACCTACCCACAGAGGTCGGACTGCTCGGCCGGCCGCTGAAAGTCCTGCACAGGCTCTGCCTTGTAGACAGGGTTCTCCTCTGATTCCGCGCTCACTTACCTCCTCACCTGACCTCCTGCCCTCCCTCCCTTGCTCACTCCACTCCAGTCACGTGGGTCTCCTTGCTGGTTTTCAACCTTACTAAGCACGGCCCAGTCTCTGGGTCTTGGCATTGGCTGTGCCTTCTGCCCAGGACACTCTTCCCCAGATAGCTATATGGCCGGCGCCCTCACTGTCTTCTAGTTCTCACTGAGCAAGGCCTTTTCTGGCCCCCACTTTTTTCTTTATTGGTTACTGACCCCATTTTTTAAAGTAAAATTCCACCCCACATCATGTATTGTCCCCCACACCAGATAGTATACCAATATTTTTTAATAAGATATTTTTTCATTGATTTCAGAGAGGAAGGGAGAGGGAGAGAGAAATAGAAACATTAATGATGAATCATTGATTGGCTGCCTCCTGCATGCCCCCTGCTGGGGACTCCAACCCTGACCTCCTGGTCCATAGGTCAACACTCAACCACTGAGCCACTCCTGAGGGGCATAACCAATATCTTTGATTTCCTGTCTTACCCACTGAATGTCAGCTCCACAAGGGCAGGGATTTTTGCCTGATTTGTTCACGGCTGTCTCCGTGGCGGGCTCTCTGGGCCTGGCACCCAGGAGGCCAATAATCAATATTTGATGAATGAATCTCTTAATCCTAAAGACCTCAGAAGGTTGGAGCTAAATTTTAGGAGACTGAGGTGCAGAGGCGAAAGGATTTGCCCAAAAGGCCCCAGGGAAGGGAAGCGGCAGGTCCTCGGCTCAAATCAGATTCTGGACTCCTATCTCGTGGCCTTTCTCGGAGCTAGTGGTTCCCAAACTTTGGGGTTTCAAAGACATAGTATTTCAGAGTGACTCTGAGTGGTTATGTGCAGTTACCATCTTAATTTGTATCAAGTATAATTCATTAAAACAAGCAAATAGCCCCTGCTGGCACCATCATTTTATCAAAGAACAAACATTTTAATGGCAAAAAAGTCCAAAGAACATAATTTCAGAATAAAGGACTGCTCCATGTTTACCATATCTTAAAAACAAAGCAGCCCTCCATTGTCTTTATTTTTCTCATTCTCTCCAAGTCTAGTCTAAATGACCATCCAGGCTAGGTGGCCTCCCGTGAGTTAGTTAACCTCTCTGTGCCTCCAGTTCCCACCTGTAAAATGGGGACAAGAATTGTTCTTAGCTCAGAGTCATTGTGGAATTCAAAGAGATCTAGTCTGAGTGAAGGACACACTGTATTCCTGGCACATAATAAGTGCTCAAGAAACTCTTCTATTTGTTATTCAAGTGGAAATAAGCAAACCATCTTTCTTGGGACTGGTAGTGGTCCTCAAGTCAGCATTTGGGAACCAGGCCAGGGCAGGAGAAGTGTGCATGTAGATGTAGGCAGGAGTGAGAACTCACCCAGATGAAAGCTGGGGAGCCCCCAGGTGGCCACTTGAGGGACTTTGAAATCTTAGAGCAGATTTGGGGTCCCACTTGATGGGACTGGGGGGAGGGAAGTCAGGGTAGGGGAGAAGGCCTCAGACAGGCCTGCCTGCCTTCTGTGCCCTGTCTGGACCCTACCCTGAGGCTGAATTGAGGGACCATGACGGTTTCAGGGCCTTACCTCTGCTCTTTGCTTCCTAGGCTGGGCCCTGTCGCAGGCCCCCAGGCTTTCCCCAAACTGGTGAGGATCCTGGAGGCCTTCTCCTCCCTCCAGCATCTGGAGTGAGTACAGTCCCCAGAGCCACCTGTGACTCAGGCTTTGGAGTCCCCAAACCCTGCCCCTGTTTGTGTGAGTTTGTGTCTCTTTGTCCTGCTGCTTCCTTTATGGGGGTGGTGTGAATGACCAGATGACCCCACTGTAGGGAAGTGACAACAGATGGCAATTCCCCCCCCCCTTTTTTTTAAGTCGAATCCTTTTATGACCTTCCCCTCACATGTTGCTCCCAGCAGTCCACAGAGAAGCAGGGTCAGAGAGCAGGATCCCACGGTATAATCGAGGCACAAGAGGCTGCCAGGAAGTTGCCCAAACTTGTGAGGGCTCCCAGGAAGCAAAATAGGGATTTGGGTCCGTTGAGAACTACAACCTTGTCGCCTGGCTGGCTGATTGGTGCCCCTGGGTGATGAAGACTCCCTCTCAAAAGCTCAGGAGCAGATAGATATCTGCTCTGGTGTGTCTAGGGGTGGGGATGGGAGGAAGCCCCAGATGGGTTGGAGGGAGGGGAAAGGTCAGGTGACTTCCCTGGCTGATGGCCCCCCATCTGATTTCACCTGCAGCCTGGACTCACTGAGCGAGAACAAGATCGGGGATGAGGGTGTTGCACAGCTCTCAGCCACCTTCCCTCAGCTGAAGGCCCTGGAGACACTCAAGTAAGTGGGTTGGGCCTGCCCTTCTTGCTCCATTTTCCCTCAAGGCGGGCTGGCTTTTTTATCCTTTCATTCACTTATCCATTCTTCAGTCATTGATCCACGTAATCATTCATCCATCCATTCCTTCATTCGTCCTTTCACTCATTCATTCCTTTATGTAATCATTCATGCATTTAATCATTTCTTAATTTAATCAACAAATATTTAAGGAGCACCTAATGTGTGCAGGCTCCATTCTAGGCCCCAGAGATCCAGCTTTAAACAAAACAAGCAACATCCCTGACCTCAGAAGTCTTCTAGTGAGAAGACACAATAAACAAGCAAACAGCCGAAGCCGGTTTGGCTCAGTGGATAGAGCGTCGGCCTGCGGACCGAAGGGTCCCAGGTTCGATTCCAGTCAAGGGCATGTACCTGGATTGCGGGCACATCCCCAGTAGGAGATGTGCAGGAGGCGGCTGATCGATGTTTCTCTCTCATCGATGTTTCTAACTCTCTATCTCTCTCCCTTCCTCTCTGTAAAAAATCAATAAAATATATTTAAAACAAAAACAAAAACAAGCAAACAAACAAATAAAGCCATAATTATAAAGTATACTAGAGGCCCCGTGCATGAAAATTCATCCACTGGTGGGAGGATGAATTCAGCCCTGTCTGAGCCCTCTCGCAGTCCAGGACCCCACGGAGGATGTCCACCTGCCGGCTTAGGCCTGCTCCCCGGGGGATCAGGCCTAAGCTGGCAGTCAGACATCCCTCTGGCAGCTTGGGAGCCCTCAGGGAATGTCCACTTGCCAGCTTAGGCTCGCTTCCTGGCAGAATGGGCCTAAGCTGGCAGTCGGACATCCTTAGAGCTGCCAAGGAGGTAGGAGAGGCTCCTGCCACTGCCACTGTGCTCACAGCCATCAACCTAGCTGTGGCTGAGTGGAGCTCTCCCAGTGTGAGTGCACTGACCATGAGGGGGCAGTTCCTGCATTGAGCATCTGGCCCCTGGTGGTCAGTGCATGTCATAGTGACCAGTCATTCCTGGTCGTTCTGCCATTAGGGTCAATTTGCATATTACCCTTTTATTATATAGGATAGTAATAAAAGTAAACAATGTTTAGTGACAGAAAATTACTCTGGAGGTGAAATAGGAGAGATAGATTAGGATTTATCAGTAAAACATTATCAAAATGGTATATTTTTATTTTTTTAAACTATTCTGGGCCCTAGTCAAATAGTTCTAGGTTCAATTCCAGTCAAGGGCATGTACCTTGGTTGCAGGCTCCTCCCTGGACGGGCCCCCTCACATCATTGTTTTTCTCTCTGTCTTTCCCTTTCTCTTCCACTCTCCCTAAAAATCAATGGAAAAAATATCCTCGGGTGATTAACAACAAAAGCTATTCTGTGCTTTGGGAAATAGGAGATGGATATGATACAAGAAGATCAATATGATATTTTTCTTTTTACTGAACATAGATGGTATCATCAAAATTTATCCACACCCCACTTCATAACCATGATTAGGATGGCTGCAGAATTCACCAGAATTCACTTAGACATTCCTTGATTATAAGATACTGAGATTCTCAAAGTAATTTATAGTGTTCTAGGTAACACTGAGTAAGCCAGATTTCTCTTTTAATCCTTCCTTCCTTCTTTTCTTTCCTTTCTTTTCTCCTCCCTTTTTCCCATCCATCCCCCCCTCTTTTCCCTTCCCCTCTCTTTCCTTCATTTCACCGCCCTACTTAACTTTACTGAGCACCTACTATGTGCATGGCGTTACTCTAAGCACAGCAGAAATACAGTAATGAACAAAAAACAGACCAGGCCCCTTGCCTGGGGAGCCCACATCCATCAGACAAATAACATGAACACTTACTTAGTGACAGAGCTGAAAAGTCATCCCAAGGGGCCCTCACCATTTTGGCTCAGTGGACAGAGTGTAGGCCTGCGGATTGAAGGGTCCCAGGTTTGATTCTGGCCAGGGCCTGGGTTGTGGTCTTGATCCCCAGTGGGGGGTGCCTGCGGGAGGCAGCCAATCAATGGTTCTCTCTCATCAGTGATGTTTCTGTCTTTCTCTACCTCTCCCTTCCTTTCTGAAATCAATAAAGATTTTTTTTAAAGTCATTCAAAGGGGATGCTATAAAATTATAAAACAGGTGTGGGCAGGAAAGCACTCTCTCTTGTGCATCCTCACCCCCATCATCCCACTCAGCCACAGGGCCTAGCAGTATCCTTTTATTTATTAGGAGTTACCACCAGTCTACCCACGTGCCCTTCACAGTTGATGACCCACAGCTCTCCTTGAGGTCATTGTCCTGTCTTAGCTGCTCTGGGCCACCCTGTGCAGAAGCGGGTTTCTCAGTTCTGTCCCAGGGAAGGCAGGTAGTGGGGAGGGGTGTACAAGGTTGGCCCTCTTGCTGTGTCCCTGCAGCTTGTCCCAGAACAACATCACGGATGTGGGCGCCTGCAAGCTCGCCAAAGCCCTGCCCTCACTGGCTGCATCCCTTCTCAGGCTGAGGTGAGTGGGGCCCTGCTGAGCTGGTGGGCTTGGGGAGGGCAGAAAGCCCCCTTTGTACCAGCTGCAAAGTCCCACGCTGGGACCCTGGAGGCAATCACTGCAGGCTGTTCTGCTGTGTCAGAGTTGTTTTTTGGAAGGGGGTGGTGGTGGTGGTGGTGGTACCCATCTAAAATCCAATATGAACACAAACCCCTTGTTGGGCAATGCCTCTGTGTCTTTATCTGGAAAATGGGTACCATCCCAATGCCCTATGGAAAGCCCTTGGTGCAGTGCTGGGCCCTGGGGCACAATAAATATTGATTCTCTTCTCCCAGCGGATGGAGGACTGAGCTTTCTCTAGAGCCTTTTTATTTTATTTTATTTCAGAGAGAGGAAGGGAGAGGGAGAGGGAGATAGAAACATCAATGATGAGAGAGAATCATTGATCAGCTGCCTCCTGCATGACCCTTACTGGGGATCAAGCCTGAAACCCAGGCACGTGACCTGATCAGGAATCGAACCGTGACCTCTTGGTTCATGGGTCCACACTCAACCACTGAGCCACAGGGGCAAGAGGGGTGTTGATTTCTACAAGGCTAACCACCCTCAACCTTGGCTGCTCGGCTCACGCATACACCAGCCAGGGCCTATACTGCCACCTTCTGGTGGTCCTTGGCATAGCACCTCTTGCTTTTGATTTCTTCCAGCCTGAACCCTGGTGAGGGACTGAGAGCTTGGACCAGAGCCCCAGTCATTCAGCTCAGCATTGCCAGCTGTCCTCCCTCACCAGGCTGGGAGGAATTCCCTCTCCTTCCCCAGCCCTCAGACCATGCCAAGGACAGCCAGAGTCAAATTTCCAGGGGAGATGGCATCTGGTTCCTCGAGTTACCGAAGTATCCATTCTTTATCCTTCCATTCAGGACCACTGGGTACAGCTGTATAGGTTGTGTACTGTGCAACTCCTACTCTATGTGATTGGCACCCTATAGAGTTGTGCAGGGCATCGAATATTCTCTCACTTCAACCATGGGCCAGCCTGTGCTAGGAGCTAGAGAGACAACTACGAGCAAAACAGGTGTGGTTCTTGCTTTCAAGTTTCTTTCATAAGCAAGTAAGCATATGCATAAGCAAAATATTTTTAAATAAAATAGTGATTTATACCGGGAAGGAGACTAACAGAGGCCCAGGAGTTACAACAGGGAATACTGAGTTCACCAGCGAGGTCAGGAAGCCTCTGAGGAGGTGACCATTCCCCGTCCATGGGCCACTTTAGGAGAAAAGCATTCCAAAAAGAGGGAACGGCAGATCCAAAGGCCCGAGGTAGGAAAGAGGTTGGGTCTTTGAGCGCCAGGAGGTCCCCTGTGGTTGGACATAGTGAATGAGGCACAGAGGCTGGGTGATAAGGTGGGAGAGGCAAGTGGAGGCCAGATCATGCATAGAAGCCCTCGTAGGTGAGGAGGGGGTTTGGAGTTTTTCGACGGTGAAGGAAGAAGCAGGTGGGGCCTATGGAGGTGACACCTGATCCGACTGATGCTTAAAGAAACCTCATGTCATGGAATCTAAGATGCTATTTGTTGTAAGACATCTTTCAGAGGACAAAACACTGCAGGTTATGACACCCCACTGATTGTTAGATCTCAGTATCTCAGTAATATTCAAACTATGAACATGTGCTTCTTGGCAAGAATGAAATATGGGCCTCCTGGGTTCTAAGCCCTGCCCCAGACACAGACTGCAAAGCCCCTTTCCTGGTGCCTGTCCTGGCAGCAGCCAACTCATGACATCAGGGGATGCTGGAGTTTAGCCTGAATCCACTTTGCTGCAGTGTAGACCTGCTGCTTTTACAGGCAGCCCCGCAGTGTAGCCCCGAGGCTGTCGTGGCAAAGTCATGGCCTTGAGATTAGAACCACGGCAGTAGCTGGCTTGTTGAAAGGATGCTTAGTAATGAGTGTACAGCTTAAGTCAGCCTCAGTGACATCCGTCGTGCTATTTTCAACACTGCAGATGGTGGCTGTGACTACACCACAGAAACCTGAGCCAGCCCAGTGACTGGGCTTGTCTCACCCCTTTATCCTCAGTGCCAGTCATACCTTCTACAGTAACTCATTTCACCCTCACAGTCCATCCTGGGAGGTGAAATAACCGCAGCTAACATTTAGTTCATTCCACATACTGGGCCTGTTCTATGTTTTACCAGCATTAACTCATTTACTCCTCCTCACAATGACTCCATCATGCCCATTTTATGGAGGAGCAAACTGAGCCACAGAGGAGTTAAGTAATTTGCCCAAGGTCACATAGGCAGCCGATGGCAGAACTGGGATTTGAACTGAAGTCTCAGCACGGAAGCTACCACTTCTCAGTCCCGCTGCGTCCTTGGACTCACTGTATGACCATGGAGAAGTGGCCTCATCTCTCTGGGCCTCAGTTTGCCCCCTGTAAAGTAGGGCAGTAATCCCAGCGGGGTGCAGATCCCCCTGGGCCCTGACCCCCTGCACCCAGCCCGTGCCTGTCTTCTGTTTCCGGCAGCTTGTACAATAACTGCATCTGTGACGTGGGAGCCAAGAGCCTGGCACATGTGCTTCCGGACATGGAGTCCCTGCGGGTGCTGGAGTGAGTATGGGAACCTGAGCAGTGGGAGGTAGCGCGAGGGCCTGCGGAGACGGGGGTTCCCTCCGGCATCACCGGCAGGAATGGGCTGTGGTCTGGTTGTCGAGCATGTGGTGGTGGCCTCGGGCTGGGGCTGGATGGTCCCGAGGGCCAGGCCCCAGGATGGGTTTCTCTCCCCACAGTGTCCAGTACAACAAGTTCACAGCCGCCGGGGCCCAGCAGCTCGCGGCCAGCCTGAGAAAGTGCCCTGATGTGGAGACACTGGCGTAAGTCTCAGTGGCCCAGCTGGGTGGTTCCGTGAGTCCTGAGCTCAAATCCTGCTCTGCCTGTCACCAGCGTGTGGCCTTGGGCAAGCAGGACACGTCACCCCTCTGGCCTCGGCGTCTTCATCTGCAAAAGGGCAGTGGTAATAATATTTGCCCCAAGCAGTTTTGTGAGGTTTAAATTAGACAAGACTTAAAAAGCAGTTAGCACAGTACTTGGTAAATTAAAATGCTTAATATGTTGGGTCGAACAATACGAAATTGCCTGTATAAACCATGTTGACCTACAAAAACGGCAATTTCATATGGCTCAAACTTTTTATTATAGCGCCATGTTGTCTAATGTCCAATGCTGGTACTTTATACACTTTCAGAGCACGTTCATGTACATAAACACTTACATCTTCTAAGAGGGATAAGGTGGATCATATAGACCCATTTTACAGTGGAGAAGAATAAGGCACAGAGTTTAGCCAATGTTTTTGAAGTCATACAGCCAGTCAGCATCAGAACCAAAAGTCTAAAGAAGGGGTTTTGGGGTTCCTAGGCCTCTGCTGTCCTCATACCCCCACACAGGTCTGGTTTTGCCAGCTGGGAAGTCCTCAAGGTCCCCGGCTGATAAGAGGAGAGATTTGGGAGCGGCTATGTGGGGGGCTCAGGTCACGCTCACTCCTCTAACCTGGCCTCTGTGTCCCATGCCCCACTGCAGGCTGTGGACACCCACCATCCCTTTTGGTGTCTTGGAACATCTGCAGCAGCTGGACTCCCGGATCAGCCTGGGATGACCCCGCTGGGCCTGGGACAAGGTAACTGGGGAGGTTTGTGAGGGGAGCACCACAGGGCCCCTAGGGTCAGCATCCTGGGAAGGCAGAATCCACAAAAAGTGGACAGGACAGCAGGTGGGGTGTGGGTGACCACCCCTGAACCATACACCACCTAGGGCAGTGATGGTGAACCTGTGACACACATGTCAGAGGTGACACGCGAACTCACTTTTTTGGTTGATTTTTCTTTGTTCAATGGCATTTAAATATATAAAATAAATATCAAAAATGTAAGTCTTTGTTTTACTATGGTTGCAAATATCAAAAAATTTCTTTATGTGACACGGCACCAGAGTTAAGTTAGGGTTTTTCAAAATGCTGACACGCTGAGCTCAAAAGGTTCGCTATCACTGACCTAGGGCCTCCCTGTCTCTGCGCTGGGCTCGGTGGAGGTGTCCTAAAGGCTGTGTAGCTTGAGCCCGGAGAACCCTCCCTGAGAGCCCTCCCTGTGGTCAGGCTTAGAGACTGAAAATTTCTATATGTGACACAGCACCAGAGTTAAGTTAGGGTTTTTCAAAATGCTGACACGCCGAGCTCAAAAGGTTCGCCATCACTGACCTAGCCCCTCCCCTCCCCCCCCACCTCTGCGCTGGGCTTGGTGGAGGTGTTCTAAAGGCTTTGTAGCTTGAACCCTGAGAACCCTCCCTGAGGGCCCTCCCTGTGGTCAGGCTTAGAGACTGGGGCCATCCGCATCCCACAGCGTTAGCATTGGGAAGATGTTCCTTTGGGGACTCCCAAACCCTGTGTGCTGCTGTGTCAGCCTGTTGGTGGCCCCATGTCTCTGATCGATCGTCCTGATCGGAACTTGCTTTGTGTGTTCCCTGCCTCTCACTGGCAGATGACTGTCCTCCCACCTCCCTGCTCCTCCAACCTGTGCGGTCCCCCTCCAAACCCTCTGTCTCGTCCTCCCTTCCCACCATCCCTTCTGTCCCTAGTCTCGACAACACTCTCTCCACGTGTCCTAAAGCTTCCTGACCTATCCCTTCTCCAGACCCCCCACCGACCCTTCTCCAAGGACACGGACCACGCTGGACCTTGAACTGGTTATCTGTGGACACAGCTCTTCTCAGGTCATATCCTACGAGCCTCAGGGTCCTGGCACCCAGTCCTGCCGGCTACGGAAAGGACCCATGGCCTGCTACCCCGACAGACCCAGGCCCGGCTCCAGGCTCCTTCGGGGCCCAGGTTGATGCCAGCCCTACACAGCCGCTGCAGCCCTGGTAGACAGGTGGGTGCCTGATGGCAGCTGCCGTCCACCCAGGAGCCCTGGCGCATTTTCTACGGGACACTCCAGAAGCCGCCAGAGAGAGGAACCGAGGCAGCATGTCTCCGCCTCCGCAGGGCCCCGCCAGGCTGGGGAGAAAGCACTTCTCCAGGCTGCTGTCCTAACGGGGCACGCTCGGCGCTTTGAGGGTCCCAGAGGGGAACCGGATCCAAGCTGCAACTGACTCTGAGGCAGCTGCTCTCTGTCTGTGGGACTCACGGTTTGCATTAAACTTGTTGGCCGAGGCCCAAGCCGGGCCAGGCCAGGCCAGACGCACTGGACCTTAGCTGGAAGCAACTGATGGTACACTAATGGAGGGGCGGGCGGGGGCGACTGGAGCGTGCCTGCCTCTTGCCTTCGTTTGTGCCTCTTCACTACATTATAAATGACTCACTCAACCCCACAGGCAGGTCCAGTGTTTGAGTTGATAGCATGATTACCCTGTTGGTGTGCCCACTGATCTACTGCATCACAAACCACCCCGAAATGTAGTGGCTTCAAACAACACACACTCTTATTCTGCTCGCACACCTGTTGTTGGGTAGGGCTCGTTTCTGCCCAACTCCGCGTCTGCTGGGGTCATCGGAAGGCTCGCTCACTCGATGCTGGCTGGTGGCTGGGGACCTTGGCTCCTCTAAGGGAGGGTCGGCGGGGGGCCTCTCCATGGGGGCTAGTTTGGGTCTCCTCATAGCGTGGTGGCTGGGTTGTAGGGGGGTCACCCGAAAAGGAAGAGGGGGGGGGAGAGAGGGGAAGAGAGGAGAGAGAACAGAGAGAAGTTGTATCCTTCTTATAACCCAGCCTTAGGAGTCACACCGCACCTCTTCTGTCACATACTTTGGGCTGTCACTCTCTCCCCCTCCCACATTGCGCGAACACACACACACACACACACACACACACACACACACACACACACACACATACACACACACACAAGTCTGCCTTGGCCCAAGTCCTGTCCTTCCAGAAAGGATTTTCTTTGTGGCGTCCTAAGATTCAGTGGGACATTCATTATTAGGGGAGCAGCAAGGTCTACGCACCTTGAGCCTCGCAGAGGGAGTGCTTCCCTCTGCCTCTGACCCCCTGCATCCTGAGAGCCGTTCCCAGCCCAGCTGGATTCTGCCTCGGCCAACGCAAGCTTGGAAGGGCCTTGGCAGCTTTGCTTTCTACCCAGAGAGCTGCCAGCTCGCCCGTCGTCGTTGTCACTGGGGCATGGCCTGCTCGGTCAGAAGCCTGGTTTGAGATGACTTGGCTTTGGCAGCCGTGGGAGCTGTCTGTTCAGCTCTAGTGCACAGCCCTGACACCTGGGCCCAAACTCGTCTCTTCCCAGCAACTGGGAGTCGGGGTGGGGGCGGGGGAAGGGGTTGAGACACAGCTGCCTGGTTGGCAGTCCTTGCAGAGAGACGGTGCCTTCCGCCTTGGCGAAGCTGCAGAGGGCATCAGGTGTCCTGACCCAGGTTTGGGCTTTAAATAGCTTGGGCACTGCCCCTCGGGTTTCCCTGCATTTATGGACTTTGTGGAGTCCACAAGACACTCCCATTTATGCTCACAGGGGTGAGCGCCAAGCCAGTACCCCTCTACTTGAGGCGTCTACCGCACCCTTGGCCAGACAGAGAGAGCACTGCTGTACTCCCTGCTTTGGGTCTGCTCTGAGGCTGTAATTATGCATAGCAATGATTTTAAATGACAGCTCCCCTTTGGTAAATGAGTTGATACACGCAAAGCACTCGCCACAGTGCGAGGGACATAATACGTGCTCAATAAATATTAGAATTGATTCTCATTTTGTGTCAGGCACCTTCCTCATCAGAAGGTAGTGGTGCTTCCAGGGTTCAGAAAACCCCAGTTCGGGACGCCATTTATGCTGGTGCTCACGTCCCAGCATCAAGAAGAGTTCAGGAATCTGGAGAAGGGGCTGCATGTAGATGACATAGGAATCCAGAGACTAATAAAGAGTCCGGAGATGAGATATCATTTTGAAAGGCATTGGGGGTCAGAGGACCTTCAGCTAAAGGAACTGAAGGCTGCCTCCTTGCCTAGGACCCTTGCTTTTATCAACACAATTTCCCCTAAGGCAAGGTGGAGATAATACACTTCAAAGGGTAAGGTTTCAAAGGGTACAGAAGCATAGTCAGTTTGGGGGAATTAGCCTATGGCTGTTCAGGTGTTTGGCCAACAGGGGACAATAACATGTAGATTGAGATGCCCTTAGCTCTCTGGCAGCAAGCAATCATCCCTCTTCAGGTTTGGGGAAATACCCTTGCCACTTCAGATGATTCAGCCCTGCTGACATGCTGGAATTGGCTTCTGGCAATGATAAAACTTTCAGACCCTGTAGAAGCCAGGCAATAATATATTTTGGGGGGGAAGCCCCCTAGGAAGGTGTGCCAGATCACTCCATGAAACAGCACACACACACACACACACACACACACGCACACACCGCCCCCCACTCTCTAACCTCATCACGTTTATCTTTTCCACACTTACTTGTTGTGCTGTCTGCTCTTATCCTAGGATGTGAGCTCCAGGAGGGCAGGCAAATTGTCTACTTTGTTCATTGCTGTGCCCTCTGCTCCCAGCAAAGTGCCAGCACATAGTAAGTGCTCAATAAACGATCATGGAATGAACAAATAAGCCTTGCCACAACTTTGCTTTATTCGTTCCACAAATAGGTACCGAGTACACAGTGGTGAATAAGATGCTCTGGTAAGTCTTGCATTTTAGTAAAATTTTAAAAACCTCTGGGCAGGCTGCTAGGTATGGTTGGGCAATCTGTGCACTGCACAAAGGCACTGGACATGGGGATAAATAGAGGTTGTAACCCAGTCTGCTTGCCAAGCGGTGAGTCCTGGTGTGGAGCTCTCTCAGCCCAGAGGGGCACCTCATTAATGCAAAAACTGTCTTGGGAAGTGGGCCTTTCACAGTAGATATACTTGCCTAAGGTCACACCCCTACAAAGGAGGCAGTCAAGATGCAAGGCTGCCTTTTGACTTTTTTGGAGGGTCTCCTGGTGGCCACGGGCACAGTGTACTGGAGTTGCTCCCGAGCCCCACCTGTCGGAAGGGGAAGTGTTGCTCACAGGAATCTGGGCATATGCTGTCTGGAATCACACTATATGTTGATGGCACAATCTCATGTTTAGTGGATTTCAAGTGCATGCATCTTTTTTAAAAAGTTTTTTTTATTGGTTTCAGAGAGGAAGGAAGAGGGAGAGATAGAAACATTAATGAGAATCATTGGTTAGTTGCCTCCTACATGCCCCCTGCTGGAGATATCAAGTTGGCAACCTGGGCCCTGACCGGGAATTGAACTGTGATGCTCAACCACTGAGCCACAATGGTCAGGCCTCAAGTGCTTGCATCTTTTAAACCAGTGGTTCT